ATATGATTAAGAGCCGAAAAACTTTCAGTTTTAACACAATCATTCTGAAACGCTAATAAACCCCCCTAAAAGTTTCTTACTTTCTTTCCATTTTAATTTAGGGAGGTTTATTAGCGTTTTAAAATGATTGTGTTGAAACCGAAAATTTTTCAGCTCTTAATCATATCTGAAATAAATTAACTTAATACAAGAATATATAAGAATGTATTATTTGAAACATCCAAATTTGACGTCCTTGGCTTTTTTATCGTATTTCATGTATTAAAAGAAAATGTAAAAGATATCTAAACGTCTTATTTATTAACTCAACCACTTAACTTGAAGTTTAAACGAATCTCATAAGTGCGACACGTTTAATATGTAATCTATCATCTGGATAATCACGTCTGATATGTAATTAATATTTCATCATCCTGAGTGATCTGTGAGAAGTCAAATTAAAATGTATGTTACCTAATTGAAGATGCACCTGTAATGACACACGCAAAAGATGCATATTGTTTTTTCCGCAGATAAGTTCCGCGTCTCGGAGACACTTATAAATGATTAATGAATGTAATACCTGGTTATGTGATTAAATAAGACACGTGCTTTGCTCGATAAACGAGATGAAATTTAGCTTCCTTTCAGAACTCCATCATAGAAGCTTTTAGTACCTTCGCCTTTCGCTGCATCAATTCAGCGTGACACGATATTCCGATAAAGGATGACTTCATTCCCTCGCAATATGTCCTGACCGTTAATTGCTTAATTTCAGATTTTTCGTTGACTTCGTTTCACTCGAATGATTAAACCCGATAATGAAATCTATAACCAGTAAATTCCGAAATATCGTGCCGCCCTCGCGTCTGCCTGATAACAGATTTTGTAGACTGACGAATAATTCCGAATATCTCTACCTTTCCGAATTCACGTCAATCCATGAGATAAAAATATATTGAAACTTGTGTGGATATTAACTTTATTTTATATCTATACTCTGTAGAAAAGTTACATATTCTATGATTTAAATTAATTCTAATTAAAGAACAATTTTTTTATATTGTAAATTTGAAAAGGAAGTATGATCTGTATATATCACACCAAAATATATATCATTAATTTTCTTAAATTTTTACTAAAGTTAAATAAAAGAAGTTTTGTAATTTTATTTTAATAAAAATGTCTTCATTTAGAAAAAAATTTTAACGAAGATTTATATCTTATAAAAACTCATTAATCTAAAACTTTAAACCATATTTATTTTAGTCATCTTTTTCCTGCCAAAAAAACAAGACGAACGTTCCTGATTAATCTCCAATTTATTTGTCGCGGATATGGCCTCTGTTTTGACGTCAGCATGGTCCCCAGGTTCAATAAATAATCTTCTCTGCCAAGTTATAGAGGGATTGCTGAGTGATCGGGATGAATCCTGGATTAAAGAGCAGAGAGAAAATATACCAGGTGTGCCGTCCATGATCGTGCAAAAGTCCAACGAAATATCGCCCCGAGAGTCTCGTAAAAATTAAGCTCTCCGGGGTGTCGTCGCCCGTCGTCGCGGATCATCGCAGATCGGATGATGCACGACATGCTGTGATCCCCGTTTAATTTGCCGGATACGTAGCTCTTCGAAGTAAATTGGACTAAATTATCGACGATGTCATTAAACGTTACGCGAACATTACCATACCCACCGCATCGTCATCTAAATGCGACGTTTAATTGTTATTACGCGTCAGTAGCAGTATTACACATAATTTCAAAAGGACGACGTTGATCCTTCCTTTAACCGCATTCGATTAAATCTAAAATATTAATGTAATATATAACATCCTAATTAATGTTAATAATTTTTTATTATATTAATATCAATCAGAATTCTATAACGATATTAGTGTAATTTAATTTTAATTACATTTTTTAATTTTACGAAAATTATTTGATGAAGCATTGGGAAATTCGAGATTATTCATATAAAGTGGTATAATTACGAAACGTAGATTCAAGTTGCGTTTTAAGCAATTCGGTACGAATTCTGATATACTATTGCATATAGAATAATTTACCGTAATTCACGTAATTTATTTCTACCTTTTGTATTGTAAAACGTATAATTATGAAATTCGTACAAATATACGTCGATGGGATATCTAAAATTACGATTTCATAAATAACGAGCGCGATTCTAAAGGAAATGACGCACTTGAAGAAAATGAATTGGAAACGAATAGCAACATCGAGGAAAGCAATTCGCACGCTCTCGCGCATCGACTTTGATGCGGATTTAATTAATCTACGCCCGAAGCTTAGTCCGTGCGCGCGCAGCGTCAAACGAGCTTAACACAAGGAGCTTTCTGCGAGGCGTTTTCCATGCGAAAATCCTACAGTGATATCTCTTCAGCGTACCCTTTCTATTCCAAACCTCTCCCAAGGCTGTCTGAAAAGGGAAAAAAAATATTTAAAAAAAATGAGAGAAGGTAGGGAGATCAAAAAGAGGAGCGGAGCAACCAGGAAACCAGAGTGAAATGCCACGGCGTCGAAAATAAAAGGATGAGACGAGAGCGTGCACCAAAATAGAGAAGATAAAAAAAAAGGAAGAAAGAGACAGCGCGGGCGTCGATTGATTGGCACGCTGACGTGCGTGGTCACGATGGATGACGCTTTATTTTCCACGGGTACACCCCGATTATAGATTGAAAAGCGGCCATAAATCCTCGTGAATACTTTACAGGTATGTTCCGGCAGGTGGAACGGCGGTTAGAGGGAGAAAATTTCATCGCGATGTTGCGCCATCACGAGAGAGGAAGGAGATAGAAAGATGGGAGAGGCAAAAGGGAAGATGGGAGTAAAAAAGGAGAAAGGCTCGCTCTTGGGCCAGCCGCAGAGGTGTTGGCGGGAGGTTGTTACGGTGGATGCCCCAAAATTGAATTTGCCGGAACGCGGGAACGTTTGATTAAGTGCCTCCATGCGTTATTATACATCCGATAACGCTGTCCATCTCGATTTTTTTATCATTCTCTGCGATGATCTACATGACGATCCCGCTGGTCGTAGCTGTTACTTAAAACTCTTACGGAAAACGTTACGGAAAACTCTTAGAATTCGCTTAACTCTGCCTCCCGCACGATCGCGTTTTCCTTTAACGCTGGATTTTCCTTAATGCGATACGAAGATCCTCCGAGCTGTTTCGGAAATTTTCATCGAAATGCGCATACAGCTGGCATTTCGTGCGTTTCGACATAACACCGCAATAGTCCTCGCTAAGCTCTCAACAAGCTGCGAGCAACGTGAAAAGACAGAAATTTCTTATGAATGAATAGACAAGACAATTATCCAATCGATGCATTTATGCCCGTTTCTACCAATGTTAAATTAACTTTAATCTTTTCATCTTTTTCTTGTTTTAAGAATTAGAAAAGGATAAAGAGTAAATAAATTCGCGAGATTAAAGTTAATTGGTAGAAATTGATATTAGTTGTACAAATTTGATGGTAGATTAACGCGCTTATGATGATACTTATCGATGCTGAGATCGCACAAGTTGCAAGAATTCTTCGTTTAAACAATTTTTCGGGCTCGAGTCGGTCCTAGGATTACTTCTAAAAAAAAAAGAACGAAATACTACCTACCGTAAAATCCGCGTTGAATATTTCACGGTTCGATAGATATACGCATATTTCTCTTTCTAGCGAATATCGTGCGGCGAACCGGGAGATGTTTCGAGGGAGAAAAGGCCACGTCAGAGTGGCTATACACTCTCATATAGGTATACATACCGTTAAACGCAGGACTCGTAGTGTCGAATAAACCCGGAGATCCTTCAGCCGATATATCGAGCAGCAATATTCCTAGTCGCAAACAGCGTATTTCGAAAACATTGAAGCACTGCTTTTTAAATTAAAAGAATCGATAAAATATCGATATATACATCATAACGATTGCCAAAAATTACTCAGTATGGTCAAACAGAAGCCGAGGCGTTTTACCTGAGGCCGTATAATTTACGAAAAAAAACGTTAGCAGAGCGGCGAATTGAACGAGGTAAAAGGGAAACTGAGGGAAACGCGATTTGTAGCGATTTAGGAGAATAGAGAAGAACGAGAAGAGAGAGCGAGTGCCACCAACATCATTGATAAAATACCGGATACATTCGACGTATGCGCGTAACTTCCAAAATAATGAAAAAAGCAAGAGAAATATCCTAGCCGGTTTATCCAACTTCGCTTCGATTTCACGAGAGCGAATATTCCGCGAAAAAATATCGCTGCGTTTAATCCGCGAACGATCATAACTACACACCGGTATAGCTGATACCGAGCACGTATTCCGTTGCAGGTACGCTGAATTTGTTCCAAATATAAAGAAGAGGAGCAGGAGGTCAGTTACGGCTAAATACATAACTCAAGTGACATAAATATCTTTGATATCCAAGCGGTGTCCAAACTTGCTGCTCTCGTGAAATCTTAATAACGTTACGTACGACTCATGAAGGCAATCCGGATACGTTACATTATACACTTGAACAGTGTTTTGTATTAGTATGTTGTGTTAACAACAAATAACAAACGAATTTCTCAAAAAGTTAGCTCACTGATTCGACATTTTCAGTTATATTCCTTTATGATATAATTATTGTATATAAAATTAAAACTATTTTTGTTTTATTGTCATATCTATTATTTATATGTTATATTAATTTGCAATTACTTTATATTATGCTTAGATGATATTTTCTAATATAATAAAGGAAAGATAAAGGAAAGGATAACAATAATAAAATTTAATTTTGTTATATATATTAAAAAAGGAATATCATATATCATAATAATTATTATTATTACTATAATATATTATATATAATTAAGTACAAAATATGTATTATTTTTAATTATATCTATATATACATATATTAAAAACGACTTACTATAATTTTATGAATATCTTATTTTTACACAACGCTGCTAATTTTATTTTTTTCTTTTTGGAATTAGCATTTATACAAATTTTCCCTTTTATTGCAGTTCCACCAGAGCAGCCAACCATTTTGGATCGATGGGGCCGCATCTTGAACGGCACAGCTGGCCCTTATGAGGAAGGCGATACACCCTATCTCACATGTCGCGTCACGGGTGGTAAGCTAGTAGAAAATACAGTAATATAATATGTATACGCTGAGAAACGTTTATCTACCTTCACTAACCGTGTTGTGACACATATACACTTGTCTATATACGAGATGTTCTAATAAGTGATTTTAATATATTTCATTTTCGATTAACTTAAAATCAACTTTTCTTGAAAAATAAAAAAAGGAAGCAATTAATTTTTAAATTATGAGTGACAAGTTTGTGCGACTGACGTTTGATATACCCGCTGGAAGAGATAATATACGCGATTCCGAGGAAACCTTCCGAGAATAAATCAGCAAGTTTTCCACCCCCGCACGCTCCATCTCTTTTCCTCCTTTCTTTCTTTTTGACATCATTGCGAATAAAATTCTTCCCCGTTCCATTCCGAAAATTCACGGTGAAGTAAGATCTCTCCTTTTTCCGTCGAATCTTACCTAGGTCACACGCGGCGCATTTTTGAGAGTCGTCACTCGCGACAACCTCACCGCGAAATCGTTTGGGAAACTTCGATCGTGGTCGGAGTCGCTGGTGTGTCGCCGGTTATTAGATCAGCCAACTTTTTATCGGCGAGCGTGGCTAAGTGAAAAGTTCAGTGAAACGCGAGGATGGCCGTTCTCTCTCTCTCTCTCTCTCTCTCTCTCTCTCTCTCTCCTCATAGTCGAATGCGGAAAGTCTCCAGGGTTATCTAAACTGATGCGTAGTGGATCAAGCACGAATGAGAACGACGGAAAAGAGGAATGGGACGGGACAGGGAGGACCCGACCGGTGCTTCCTGCTATTTACTTTAGCAACTGGATCTAAATTTCTGTTTATAACTGTGACAACTTCTTCGGCCGCCTTAAAAGATTATTTCCTGCCTCTACTTCGTAGGGTTCAACTTGGTTGCCGCCCGTCCTCGATGCCTGTCGTTCTGTCTTATGGAAACGTTTTCGAGCTTTCGCCGTGATTAAGCACTGTGCATCTTCTACTCTCCTTTCCAGGCTCAGAATATACCGAGAATGAAACGTCGTTAAAGATCTTAAATCGCGTCGCGGCAAAATTCGGCAAACTCGAGTCGCGCCGAGTGCAGTCATCTGCTGTTTGAATATTCATTACCGCTGTCGTGCGTCTCCCTTCCTCTTTTCTCTCTTACTCTCTTTTTTTCTATTTATTATTATTTAATTATTTTCATCAAAACGCAACATACTTTTCAGATAAACACCAGATTTATGAAAATGTCTGGATTTCAACGAGTTTACGCTTAACAAATTAGATTTGCAAATTAAAATCAAAAACTATCATGAAATATCACATTTACATCACTTATTCATATTGCGATTATTTATCTCGCAATTATGAATGAAACTTTAATTATACTTTAATTACTTTCAATTACGTTGATTTAGCTTATTCTTTAATTGTTTCCAATATGTTTATTATGACTTACTGTTAGTTGCCGTGATGATACTGAATCTCTGTTTTCACGGAATGGCACAAATATGTTGAACCGATGTAATCCGTCAACGGCAAATTCCTATCGAAACATCCATTCAGTGGTGAACAGCGTTGTACATCATGATATATTGTCCATCCTCCTCGTTTTGCTAAAAGCGGAAATAAAATAAAAAAGGAGAGCAAAAAGAAGGAAGATATTGGTCAGCTTCGTTACCACGAGAGGAGATGAATCTCGCTATTAGAATCGCCCCGTCCTCGAGCGATCGTATTAGTAATCGTTACCAAATACAGGCAGTGGATAACAGCGTATTCGGTTGCCCTTGTTCATCGAATCCTGCATTTCGGCGGATATATATATATATATATATATATATATATATATATATATATATATATAAAGTATATACTTTATATATAGTATATGTATACATGTGTGTGTATGTGTGTGTGTGTGTGTGTGTGTGTAGATATATCGAGATATACAAAGCCGAGAGAATATTGCCGTATGCAGATTCGATGGGAATTGCATTCACGCTGCGCATCGATCAAACGCATTGCGGCGTATAAATTGAATATCGAGAAGATCGGCTTATCCTTAACAATACATTCGACGTCGTGCCTTCGAAGATTCCTCCCGCCGGACGCGAATCCGGCGTTTTAATTTAATTGTAAATAACGCTTACGAAGAAGAAGTGAAATCGAACTCTCTCGCGATCAGTATTATGGATAGCAAAGTGAGCGAGGATATTTTTTTCTCTTTTTCTCTGCGTCTTTTTTCCTTCTTTTTTATTTTTAAATCGTTTGAAACTCGTGGCGAATTTTGATCCGATTCATGGCTGCGACATATAAAGCACACGAGGCGAGTATAATACGAGCATTAAATGTCAAGCGATCTTTTGCCAGTCGGAGAACAAAGCGTGGATGGCAGAGAGAGATAAAAAGAGACAGAGAAAGAAAAAGAGAGAGAGAGAGAGAAAGAGGGGAGGGAGCAGAGAGAGAGGTCGTGTTTTTATTTAAAATTAAAAACTCGCTTGTTAAAACGATCGGACGACGTTCCCGGTTGTAAGTGACAGGCTGACATGTGACATTCCGGCAGGGACCTTTTTTGCGCGAGCGAACGTGCGTAATTCGCGTAGTTATCAAAACGCCGAAAACAGATATCATACCGGTACCATAATCGACCAGCGCGTTCGCTTACGTATCTCTACTCTCCTCCTCTCATAATGACGAGTTACATTTCTATCGAATTTTCGAAAATTACAATATCGTTGTAATCGAGCTCGCCCGCAGGGCGATCGCTGTTCTGTTGCTCGTTATCTTTATAACACGCAGTTACCCATGTCTATCCGTGTTAGAAAATTGTCTGGGATTTGTGCGACACGCGCGTACGGATTATGCCCCAGTCTGGGATCTAATCTTCATAAAACGAGGTGCGCGATGCCTGGAGCTACAGCACGAGATCTGAAAACGGGAGCCACACGAATCTCTCTCTTGCCTAATTCGGTTGCTCTCGGTGCCGTCTTGTAAAAACAACGCCATGTGCCGCGTAATTAAGCGGCGCGCGATGTTAACGTTGATGTAATAAAAATGGGAATTTAATATCGCGCTCATCATTTTCGAGTTTGCTGCGGTGGTATTGTCTAAACGGAGATCGATCGGTAATGCTACCGCTGCGTGTAAATAAGTTTTCGAGTAAGTCACGCGAATATCTATGTGCTAATGAATGTGTACATTATCAGAAAAGTATTAACGCAAGATATTACTGTATATATAATGTTTGTTCTTTAAATTTACGAAATTTAATTACGTGGCTTCTAATATTGAACGAGAACTTTGTTGTGTAGGTAAATACAGATATTGGTAAACGTACACGATGGGAATTTTTTCTTAGAATTGAAAATATGACAGTCGTGGGACAACATTTTGAAGAATTTTAATGTAAATTCTCATTCATTAATATCTCTCATTCATTAATAAAATTATAATAAAATATAAAATAAGTTTGATCAATTTTATTGAAATGCATGGTAAAGAATCTTTAAAATATTGTATTGTACCATATTTTCAGGGTAAATTTTAAAAGAAAATTCTCTCCGTACAGCGTTCCTAGAAGACAAGCCATTGTCTAGATCCTTTTTGATTGGTGTACTCGCACAATGGCGGTACCAATCAAAACAGGAACATACATACATTCATGACACAAGGCACAATATATATCACACATTTGATACATCGTGATACATTTTACATATATTTATATATATCATTTTATATATATGACTAAACTCCTTTTAGGGATAGGTGTATTTATATTGAATGACAGATGAGGATGTCTGTTCACATCCTACGTATTTGTGGCTTCGACAGTTGTTTCTGTAATCGTTGTTGCGATATCTGAACAAATAGTATCACGTGTCATTGTCCAAGTTCATACGTTGATTAAGTTTCTTGCAAACAAAAATGTTAAGCTACCGAAATTTTGTATAACTCGTGTTTATAGTTCGGAGAAGAGATCTTTATTGAAGATGCAAAATGGCACTGGATATTATTTGTCCGGACATCACGACTACAGAAACAACCGTAAGGCCACAACTAGGGCGTGAGCAGACACTCCCACCTGTCACTCAGTATAAATACGTCTACCAATATTGATTTGTATTCACACAAAAAAAAGTCTCGTCCATTTGAATCACCCATGTGGAAGCAAGTATATAGTACCGTGGTTACAGCCTTTCCCTATAAATTCTGTTCTACAGTAAATAAATGTGTCAAATAAATGTGTATATGTATGTAATATCGGAAGAAATCACGTAACGAGCAGGACAATTATATATTGTCTCGAGCAGTCTATTACATGCAATTTACAAGCAAGCCTAAGCCTTTTTCACGCGGGGAATGTATTCGCGTTATGTATAATTTATGACAATGCTGATGAGAAAATTTTACGACTCGTCCCGCGACCGGAATTTATTGCCAATTACTCGACTTCGTGCCCAGAATTGAGGGTCCTTTCACGCGAGGAAATATATACGCAAGAGAGTAAAAGGGAAGTCGTTCGCCTTTCTTCACGCCACATCCGCCAGTCGGATGGACGCAAAGATTTACCTTTTCGACCCACATAAATTCTCATATCGCGGATGATTACCGGACAACAGCGGCATTTAAATTTAAGGGTACAACCTCGATGAGAGGTTTGCGTCTTCGCTCTATCGGTGCTTTAAGATATTCCGGTCATATCTCAAAAACCGTCCGTCGAAGATGAAGAAATGATTATCTGAGTGAAAGAGGGAATAGCATCGAAGGTGCGATTACAGAGTAGCGAGTTGCTCTCGTCGTTCCGTCAATCTTGTCAAAGAAAAAGAGAAAAAGAGAGACGCAAGCCGAGGGAAAATAATTTTTCCACCGATGAGACCCGCGGGAGAAACAGCTCTTTGGAATATATGACGTTTCTCGGAGCGTCCGTTAATTCCAGCAACCTGGCGACACGCGTGACGAAAATTGAGATATCGAATTTGATTTCCGATTCGGATTGAGGGAAAGTTCCATGATTTTTTACCGATGCATACAAT